AGTTAACTGGCACACGAACCACCTCCACCTGCCCATGCTCTAAAGTCTTAATTTCTAGTTCACTTTTAGCATAACCACTCACAAATCACACCACTTTTATTAGTCTTTATCCATAGTTTGTTTTGCTTACTTCAGTCACTTGTTTTGATTAATTTTGTACAAGATCCCTAATTAATTTTATAGAGAAATTGTTTTATTATCCTTTCACTTTGATAGTTACCTCTAAATTCATAAGCAGACAACGAGTTTGTCTCACCCGCTAGAGACACACGGTAACAGTGTGACCAGGTGACCGAACCTTGACTGGATGGAGGCTTTCCAGGGCGCAGAGGGTGGATGCAGCATCGCCAATATATGGGTTTTTAAGCCCTAAGCGTCGCCGGGTAATTTTAAGATGCGTCGCCGGCTAATTTTTAATGAGAAGCCATTTACGCTGAGTAATGAAAAACTATTTACAAGCCACAAACTTATTTACAAGGTTGCATGCACATGTTACCTCAAATAACTAATTTTACCCTAAAAACAGTCCGATTGTACAGCAAGTGTCAACTGAATGTGTAATAATGCAGTCTGACTGCTCTAATGTGACCGCAACTGCGTAATCGTAAGCTTGATGTTTACATTTTTTTGGCGGGAACTCCTTGCAACTGATTTCCGGACAAGCTTCACTGCATCCTGATCCATCCAACATATTGGAAACAGGAAACCTTACTTTTTTTTAATAGTTGGCCAAAGACTGACAAATATATTAAATGTAAGAATTTCAATCTAAATGTGTCGGCAAGATCTTCTGAAGGCGTAAATTTTGCTACTGAAGCATCGCCAAAGATCTTGCAATATTCATCCACTCTCTGCAAAGTGGGAGGCTTTCATGGGGTGGTCACCCGGGGGGCAGAAATGATACGGAATGAGGTATGGGAGGGCGCTGGCAAGGAACTAGGCACAAGCCAGGTCCAGATGCATGGCTAATGGGAGGATGCCAGTCTCCTGGTGAAAGTGGGAGATTGGGGCCATTTTGAGGCAGCCAGTGACTAGTCTCAATACAGTGTTTTGGATTATCTGCAGGCTGGCAACTGCTGTGCATGAGGCAACAGGGTACCAGATGGGGGCTGCGTAGTTGAGGATTGGGCACGTGATAGCTTGGTAGGTGGCAATAATGTCCCCCTTGGAAAAGCCCCAGTTGGTACCAGCTAGGGCTTTTAGGATGCAAAGAGAACCCGTTGCTTTTGTGGCAATGGCTCTTGCATGAGGGGAAAATATGAAGTACGTATCCCAGGTAACGCCCAGGATTTTAGAGGTTTTATCCAGGGGGATGACACCGTTGCAGATAGTGGCAGCAGGTTGGGATCAAAATTGGTGGGTATCTGGTGTGAAGAGCGTGACTGAGGATTTACCAGGAGCCATGTCCAGTTTCTTGGCCACCGACCAATCCGATACGTTCCAAAGGAGCACAGCAAGCTCAGCCTCAGCAGCATTGAGCCTTGGGGATGACACGAAGATGGTCAGATTCTCCGCATATGAGGCTATGTTGGGGGTCGGAACTGGGATATCAGAGATGAAGTGATTAAAGAGGGCCGGTGAGATGACCAAGCCCTGGGGCACTCTGAAGTGAACAGCCCTGAAAGGCAACTGTGTTCTGAGATAGAGGCAGGATGCCAGCCTGCCTCTAAGGTAGCAGCACAGCCAGCGGACCAGGTTATGATGTAGGTACAAGAAGGAGAGGTTATGATGTAGGCCGCGATCATGCTCAGAAGGAGTAGTCCGAGATAATTAAACTCAGACTTTTTATGAAATTATTTTTCTAATAAAATATTCAGGCAAATGAAGAGCACACACGTGCTGTTATATGACACATATGCAATATAAGTATGCTTTGCTTCTGGTAAAAAAAATACGCAGCGCATAGGCGCTAGTAAAAAACCATCAAATAGCACACGCATGAAAGCGGTATAGACGATTGAGCAGCACACACGAGAGGCAGGACAATTAACAGAGCGTACGAGCTAGCAGCTGACAAAACATATAATAGCGGTTTCAGCGTTTAGTAGGCCGTAGGCCTGTCACCGATTCTTAACCTCGAAGAACATTCACAGCTTGCTGCATGTCTCGAACTCGCAACTCACTGCTACAATTCTGCAGTGCTTAACCGCCCGGCCTCCTTGCCGATTCTGACCAGAAACTGGCGCACAGAGCTGGGATCGAACCCGCGCCTCTCTGCTCCAATCATGGTACTCTGAACTGTAACCACTGGGCAACCCTGCTTAGACTTACTTATAAACGTGTCAAGCAAGCGAATAGCTTAGGTGCTAGTGGTAGAAAATTAGTAAAAAAAACTGAAAGCAAACTCTGCTTTCGACAATGAACTATATAAACTTCAACAATAAACTATGACCTGTCAATACTTTTCTAATAATATGGAACGGAACACCAACAATTTCTTGTAATGAATCCATTAACGACGATATAGACTAGAATCAATCACAATGAATAATCGATTACACAAACAATTCATAAAATGACAGAACAAATGTAACACACAATTAACATTTGACACACAAATGAAGGAAAATGGTCATGGAATTCCTAATCTGAAGACCCTGTGAGCTCTGCCAGACGAAACAGCCACATGAGCCATGCTGTCGTGCAGATTCTAGTCAATGCTTCCTTTAATGATAATATAACTTTTTTTCGCTCAGCAAGGTAAATGTAATCAATATTCTTTGTTTTTAATCAATTTGTTCTTAACTGGAGCCTTTGCTAACTGAGGTTCTACCATAAATGCGTTTTTGGAGGTGTCCCTAATAGCCCCGGGGGGGTGTCCCGAGTAGCCCCGCCGTGCGGAAATGGCTGCCATTTCTTTTTGGAATGAGATAGTCAAATTCTGTCAATTACGTTTTCAAGCCGACACCTGGGTGCAACTTTTATGTAAGTAAAATTTTTTAATACGGCTAATATTTTTTTTTGCTACATACCTTAGCAGTTGTAACTTTACAAAATATAGTTTTTCACCATTTTTTTCAGGAATTTTTCAAAGCAAGTAAATGTAGTATTTTTCAACTTCCTTTATACTACATAGATAGGAAAAAAAATGTTGACGTTTACGCCACTATTTTTAGTTTTGCAATATTCCAATTAGTTTCGCTACTACAACAGTTTTACGACGTGTCGGAGGCCTGTCCCAAGTAGCCCCGGTTGACGGTACCCTATCTTGCGGAAATAGCTGCCATTTTTTTAGGAAGGAGATGTGCCAATTTTGTAAATCAAGTTTTCAAGCCAACACCTGTGTGCAACTTATGTATATAAGTACAATTTTTTAATATGGCAAATAAATTTTTTTTTCTACAGACCTTAGCAGAGGTAATTTACCAAAATCTCACTTGTCACACTTTTTTCATGAATTTTTTAGAGTTAGTAAATGTAAGATTTCTTAACTTTCTTTATGCTTCAGAGATAGTAAAAATGTTAAACTTTATGCCACTAACTTTAGTTTTGCAATATTTTATTTAGTTTAGCAGCTACAACATTTCTACGAAATGTGGTATGACTGTCCCGATTTACCCCGCCCGTCCCTTATTACCCCATTTGACAGTACATATATTCTATTGAATTTTCTTCTTTGTTTTCAGCTAGATTCAAATCATTGCCAAAAATTCTGAGAAGTACACAAGTTCATTTGTTTTATATAGTACTACAAATAGATGATTTTTTTTATGCCCCATATTTTCTATGATCTTTATCTTATTCTTTTATGATTAACCCATCACCTGACATTAGTTTGTGTTGCAAAATTTCAAATCAGAAGATAAAAGACTTAGGATTAAGCTGTGTAATTATTCACTTAGTGGATGTACTATTAGTGAAGATTGCCCAATAAATGCAAATCCTTACTTTGACTTCATTTTGTTTTTGTATTTTGCAGTATCCAGTTTACTTACTTGCATAACCTAAACCCTAAAGATCTTAATAAACGTGAACAATCTTTTACCATAACCTTCAATCATGTCAAGTAGTACATTTGAGTGCCTTGTTGTCCTGCAACCACTACTTGACTCTGCTGAAGAGAAAGACTGTATTGCTGAGCCGAGCTCTTCTCAAGGGTGTCTTGTTGCTGGTAGAGCAAGTTCTGAAGGTGGGCATAGCATTTTCTTAAGGCTTAATCTGTAATTTTAGGTTTTATGAATTAGGTAGGGTACCATATATGGTAACTTGGAACTTCTACATGAACGGATTAACCACTTTCTGTGTGTTGTTTTTGACAGTTCATTGTTGTGAGAGATCTTGATGCCTTGGTAACCAAATTAGTCAAATATAATACAAGTATAAAGTAAGTGCAGCAATACCGTAACAGCCCTGGTTCATACTGACAGATTACCTGAATCTAGCAGTCAAATAACTGCAGTATTTGAAACATTAACAACCACTATAGATAATCAAATTAAAGGCATCATTGGAGGAAAAGAAAAACTTTGCCACATCACCCCTGACTCAGATCCACTAGGAAGAAACTACACAAGAGAGCTGTACCAGAGTAACATGACCCTGCCTCTTCCAATCATCTGATCTTGATTCACTTGGCATCACTTCCTACCATGAGGAACGAATAAATTATGAGCATTTGAAGAGAAGTGGCTCAGACATCAAAATTGATTCACTTTTAACATCAAATTAAAAGCAACATCTCTGCAATTAACATTGACAAATGGAATATGAATCATACCTATTTTGTTTTACAGTTTGATAGTTTTCCTACATACAGTAATTTTGTTTTCAACTGTACATCATATAAAATTTACATGCAATAGTGCCTATATTTGTTAATTTATTGCCCATTATTTTTTCATAGTAATCTGTCAAACTTGAATTTCTACATATGTTGTTATCTGCTTGATAAAGGGTAAAATGGTAAAATAGGTATGTTGCTACATTCAAACCATGTATCCACACAAAGGAGATAGCAAAATTCCTTCCCTTATATTGAAAGTATTTATGGCTGAGAAGCATTTTTAGCACTACATGCCTTCTAGTTGAAGAATGTGTTCTTGTCAATAAATTTCATACCTACTTCATATTTAAAAATTTTTATTGTGCAGTTATGAATGCTGGTGCTACACCTTCAATCATTGAAATTGCAAGTGATAACATCAAGGAGGAGTTAGTGGATGACATAAAGGTTATATTAGTAAAAGAGGAACCATTATCAGATGAGACTGTGGTGGTGAGTATGCTTATGTGTATTTAAAGTATTAGTCAGTCCACCTATCTACTACAGGTATTGAAAGCAATTCTACATAATGAATGGATGGATGGTTGTTGTTGCTTTTTTTAATAGCCCATCCTGGTAGTGGCAACTAGGTAGGGAGTGGTGATGGATGATGGTAGAAGTTGCATTGACCTACAGTTTTGTGATGGCAGGAGCACTGGGTTTGAATGGTATATGTAATAAATTTTAATTAGTGTTTTATGTGTGATGAGGTTATGGTGGAAATTTTTGTGCTCTGATTGTGTAATGTGAGGCATATGAGAGAACGTCTGGTTATGATGGTGATTCTAAATTAGGAGCTGAGAGATCAACTTGGCAAGAACTGGTAAGAAGTATATTGCAATGATTGTGTTTTTAGGATGCAAAAAATATGTGACTGGTATTGAGTGGAAATGCATATTTGGATAGCATTTGGAGGCTGAAATTGAGTGCAAAAATATATTTTGATGGCAGGTGGATGTTGAGAAAGAGTGCAAAAAATTATGTGGTGAACATATAGAGGCTGAGAGTGAGTGCAGAAGGTATTTGGATGGCAGGTGGAGGCTGAATGAGACTGCAAAAAGATACTTTAAATTTAAAAGCATGAGCAACACAGAGCAACATAGATTCAACATTTTCATGCAGGCAGAAAGAGATTATGAATTATACTTCCAGCTCAGAAATTATTCAAATTGTTATTAGATTGAGTTGCATGCAGTTTCATTCCATTCTCCAGTTCATCATTATTTTGCTGAATTTATCTAATTACAAGGAAACCACTAAACTGCATGGTATCAATTGTTTTACTCATGCATTTCTTTAACTTTTAATTGCTTATATTTTTTTCGGCAATTTAAAATAGTTCAGGTGTGCATAGTGCTCAATAAATAGTGCAGGACCAAACATTTATTTATAAATTGCTAGTGTACAAATGCATTGAGGTGATGTGTGTTGGGGTGAGCAGAGCAGCAGCAGTGAGTTGTCATCTGCTGGTGGAACTACAGCAGCGGCTGGTGGCGGTGACCACTTTTCTGCATCATCCAGCTCCAGTCAAGTCACGAAAAGGTCGCAGCAAGGTGTGGATGCTAATTAGTTGCGCAAGAAACTAGTAAGCATATTCACTGACTGTGAATACTCTAATGCAGAAATTTGGCAATATACTTACTAATCATCAGAAATTGTGTGGTACTGATGATGCTCAATTCAATTGGATGCTAATTAGTTTTGCAAGAAAAAATTTTGGCATTGACTGCAAATATGCTTACCCTAATGCTGAAATTTTATCATGTGCTAACTAACCATAAAAAATTGTGCACTGATCTATGATCAAATAAATCATATAAGATAATAATAATAAGATAAGTCATAAGATAATTACCACACCTTTTCACAAGTTATTAATTTTTCAGGCGGCAAAATTCACTCGCTTTCCCCAATTGAAGAACTAAGGTTTGTGATTCAGAAGCATTTATGCCTCAGTGAGGACGTTCTAGAAGCAGTCATGCGAGCCATACAAGAGGCTGGAGCAGAAAACCTGGACGACGCTCGGGAATTTGTTGTAGAGAAAGATCTGGCTGGCATTCTCAAGCCTGTCCAGATACGAAAGCTTCTGAAGCGATGGTGTGAGTATTTTCATCTTAATCCATGTTTTTGAAGATTAGGTCTGTCTCTTATACACATCTAGATGTGTATAAGAGACAGGCTCCAGTCAAGTCACGAAGAGGTCGCAGCAAGGTATGGATACTAACTAGTTGCGCAAGAAACTAGTAAGCATATTCACTGACTGTGAATACTCCAATGCAGAAATTTGGCCATATGCTTACTAACCATCAGAAATTGTGTGGTACTGATGATGCTCAATTCAATTGGATGCTAATTAGTTTTGCAAGAAAAAATTTTGGCATTGACTGCAAATATGCTTACCCTAATGCTGAAATTTTATCATGTGCTAACTAACCATAAAAAATTGTGCACTGATCTATGATCAAATAAATCATATAAGATAATAATAATAAGATAAGTCATAAGATAATTACCACACCTTTTCACAAGTTATTAATTTTTCAGGCGGCAAAATTCACTCGCTTTCCCCAATTGAAGAACTAAGGTTTGTGATTCAGAAGCATTTATGCCTCAGTGAGGACGTTCTAGAAGCAGTCATGCGAGCCATACAAGAGGCTGGAGCAGAAAACCTGGACGACGCTCGGGAATTTGTTGTAGAGAAAGATCTGGCTGGCATTCTCAAGCCTGTCCAGATACGAAAGCTTCTGAAGCGATGGTGTGAGTATTTTCATCTTAATCCATGTTTTTGAAGATTAGGTTATGTCATGTTATGTTCAATCTTAGAAACAGCTCGTTTAATAAGAAACTTCTTTGTTCAAAAATAACACTTTCAATGTTAAACTTCTTTGAATACCTTTGTAAGAGTAAATTGAAATATGATTTCTATATTTCCGGTGTAAATTGTTCCCAATATTTTTTTCAATCTTTTGTTACAGCTGAGCCGGATACAGTGGAGCTCGTTCAAGTGGAGCCTGCTGTGCCTATTACACTTCATTGCCCTGCATCCAACTGTGACCCCTCCTGGCCATTGACCTTGGATCTAAAACTTGATTCATTAGAAGCAGATCTGAAGAATAACATCTATTCGCAGCATCGAGTCGTCGGTAGACAGCGCAGAACATTAGTGCGACATATCTTGGCACAAGTTCATAAAGTAACCAAAAAACCATGCAAGAAACAATTAAGAATAATTGCCTCTCGCATTCATTACATGTATCCCAAAGCCATAACTGACCACATTGATGGGAACATTATTGGGACAGGCTTTGAAACTTTCCTCAATCAGTTAATCAATAGAAATGACAACTACCAGAGAAAAACGCCCTGTCTGCTTCCAAAACCCACAGGAAATCATGAAGTTGTCTCACCCACCATCACGGAACAACAGGAGTGTGGATCTGTGTCAGAACGCGCAGCTTCATTGAAAAGGAGTTTCGTCGATGGAGCCAACTTGTCAGAGTTTATGTCAGCAACTTTCAAGCTTCAGCGAGCCGATATTAACTCAAAAACAGTTTCAGATGTGATGGCTGAATGGCCAATGCTTAAAACAAGTGCTGTAATTTTATGCCACTTTGAAGAACTAACTAAGGTCCCTCTCGAACAGTCTTTCAAAGAAAAAATACCTCAGTTTAGTGAGCGCCTTGTTGATTTCACGACTAGCGATTCTTCTAAACACAGAGCCAGAAGCACTGCCATCTACATTGAAATGTTGGAAGCAACCTACGCCACAGGCTGTCATGGCGGCTCCTACTTGGGTGTCCTGTCGCTGATAATGCTTCATCTAAACGAAGCTGTGGATGCACTATTTCCTCTGGTCCATGTTAGTTGATTTCATATTTCACATTATTTTTAATTCTGTTCTAGGCATTTCTTGTACTTAATAATTAATAATTTTGATTGATTCTATCTGAAAATGACTTGTGCTGTTTATCAAGCCTTGTTGTAACAAGCTAATTCTACAATTCTTCCCACTTATCTCATGGAATCTTTTTTGTAGGAGCAAACTCTTCCTCACGAGCTGCCGTTAGCAGAGGCCACACGACCTATGCTGTTTGTCTTTGGTGAGTTGGGTTTGAATGTTATCACAAAATGTCTATGATGTTAGTCTCAATGTGCTGTCTGAGTTTGCTGTGTTTGAATGTGATCAAAAAATGTCTGATGTTAGTCTCAATGTGCTGTCTGAGTTTGCTGTGTTTGAATGTGATCAAAAAATGTCTTTGATGTTAGTCTCAATGTGCTGTCTGAGTTTGCTGTGTTTGAATGTGATCACAGAATGTCTTTGATGTTAGTCTCAATGTGCTGTCTGAGTTTGCTGAGTTTGAATGTGATCATAGAATGTCTTTGATGGTAGTCTGAGTTTGCTGTATTTGAATGTGATCGCACAATGTCTTTGATGTTTTTCTCAGTGTAATACCACTACCAGAGACTTGACTCGATAGTTGATTGTCCAACCTTGCAAGGACATACGTTTTAAATGCTGTTAAAAGGTTTTGCTGAAATTTTATGAAGCTCAGTTCACAATATCTAATTCGTGATAATAGTCACTTCTCATTACTGAATTCTTGATAAAACATTTCACAATGTTGCCTGTTAGGTCCGTCACTAGTGCAGGCGCGCAAGACGGTGCTCGCCTTCAACCAGCAAGTCGTGTGTGAAGTGTCATCTCCACTTGAGGGACTAGCGACGCTCTTCGCTGCCTACTACGTCTTCAAATACGAGTACCCGCCTTCCGCCTGCGCTACACTTGAATTACTGCAGAGGTTAGTCATTTCCCATAATTGATTGACTTCTTATGAGGAAAATAATCAAACCAATCTAGAAAAATGCACAAATAAATTCCTTCGACGACTTGAGAGAGCATTTTATTCTATACATTAGTTACAACTTCTTGATGAAATCTAAACCCCCACGGTAAGGTTGGCTTCTTTAACAATTATATTGACTGAACCTGCGCCTTGGAAACCGAGAAGCATACACCCTAGACCAGATGGATCAGGCTACGAGCCTGAAACCAACGACGAAACCTGACACTGCAAACCGAATATTGCACCTTCGGCGCGAAATAGACGAAACTGATCTGAAGCGCTAGAAACCTCTCTCCTACTACTACTACTACTACTACTTAATTTGCTCAAGTGATAATCTTCTAATAATGTGTTTAGTATCTTCTCATGATGTGCTAGTTCGTTCGAGTAATACAAGGTTACAGTGCCACTTGCAAGCATCAATACTACCTCTATATTTACACTTCTTTTGAAATTAAGACATTTTTTAGCGGTCTATCCCCAAGGCAGTTTTTAAACGAGTTTTGACTTTGCGCAGGTACTGTGCAGGATTAGATTTCGTACCCAGGCAAATGAGACGCCGAAGTAGAGTGCATCCACGAGTGGTGAAGCTCATTTCCGACATCTCCGACCATCAGTGGAGGACCAGAATTGAGGAGCGCAGATCTGTGTTCAACCAGGAGTTATCTGCAGCATAAATTCAGTGGACTTTTGTACATAATTATAATTCTGTTATAAATAAGCTCTCAAGTGATATTAGATCTTAATTGTTGTAATTTTATGTATAAGCTTCTCTATATGTATAGGTACCCGTTATATTGGAAAACATACTTATTGCCAAAAAAACTCAAATGTTGATCTGTTGCCATGAGATATTATTATGGTACCCAGGTAATCTCATGGTTAAAAATAGAGTTCAACATTAAAAGGTTTACTTAAATTGATATTTTGCAAACAAAAACGTTAAATTAAGCGGTAAAAGTCAAGAGGAAACGTACTCTGATTGCAGCCTTTTCATTTCTTCACCACTAGGCCATTTAAGATTGTCGATTATATATCTTCTTCTCTCATTGTGCTATCACTCGATTACTATTAATGCATTGGGAGTTTTATGCTTCTGTCATTAATGCCAGCAAACGATTACAAGGACATAGATCGCTTCAAGAAACGTGTTTAAAGTTAGGCGCTTGATGTTCTCAACGGCTCGTGTAGGTAAATCTACTTAAATTAAACGATCGTCACTTTGGATATAGGGTTATACTGTATATAATAATAGGGTTTAATAAATATAATGTGTCAGCACCGCTTTCCTGAGCGCGGGCAATCACTCCTCGCCTGTCATGGATAAAACGCTAATTTTGTGGCATATTGATTAGGCGGAGTGTTCCTAAGGTGACAGAATATTTAATGCTGGTGAATGTAGCTGAAAAAAATTTGTGAGGGGGATTCTAGGCATGGGCATTTCTCTATCCTCACTTGGGCATTTCAAGTGAGTCTATACTCGTGAGAAGTCTGGAGACAACAACGCGTTCTTAACCCTCTACCGCCTGACATGAGTAACCGGAGCAATATTGTCACAAGGCTACTTCACACAAAGGATACGTTCTAGTGAGAGCAAAATCTTGCACTGATGTGTGCCGCCACGTACAACTTTAAAATGTTCTCTGTTGCGTACAAACGTCCTAAATTTGCTACGCTAAATAGTTTATGTATAATCTAAGTTAGAAGTTATATTCCCGGAGAATGACATACGACGGTAGAAGGTTAAGAGCATTGTTCTTGTGCGCCCCATCACGGAGCTCGCGGTGCTTGACTGCGAGTCTCGGTTGTGGAGTCAAGTTGTTGTGTCGGCAGGATTCCTTGCATTTTCTCATGCGTGTCTTGATGGTGTATCAGGTGTGACATGTTGTGCGATCATAGTTAGGTTTGCCGCTACGTGTACTTGGGCCACTACGTTTCTTGGTCCGCTACGTGTACTTTGGCCGCTACGTGTACTTAGGCAGCTATGTAAACTTGAGCGATTTATGATGGTATGGCCACTGGAAATTATGCGTTTTAAATAAAAAATGTAGGCGTGCCATTCCATCAGAATGGCATGAAGGTGAGGGGATGCTGGTCAATTATGTATTGATTATAAATGTCTCGCTCTATCTGATGGCCTTGTGTGGTGATTGCAGTGAACGATAAGTCTTCAGCTTGCCAACGGAAAAGCGTTTAGTTATAGGCTTGTCCCTCGTCTACCGTAAAAAAGTAAAAAAAAAAAATTTTAACTTCCTCAAAATCAGTTAATACAACATCATGTTTTAATGTTAGACCATGCACGCGTGCGGCAACTTTTATGCAATTGTTTTGATTTTGGAGTTAGGAGCAAGCTTGGAGTAATAAATAAATTGAATAACTGCTCCATTTACAGTATTTCTGGGCTCTTGGGGCCGAGTGTTCTCACTTGAGACGCCCTGAAGTTAACAACGTCTAAGGTTACAGTAGCGAGAGAACAGTTACGACCACAAGAACACCGCCGAACTACAGCAGTGGAATATTGTAGAAGTAAGAGCTACTCCTCAGTATAATACAGTTGAAGTAGGAGCTACTCGATGGAGTACTGTAGAAGTAGGAGCTACTCCTCAGTGTAAGACTGTAGAAGTAGGATCTACTCTTGTGGTATAGACTTGTGGGTCTCTAGCCGCTGAAGTGCGGCCAGTCTAGTTACCAAGAAGGAAACAATTTTGGTTCTAGAAAATGATATGAATTAATTCGAAGAACATCTTCTGTAAATAAACTGATGATTTAAATCCAAGTGACGGTGAAGTTGGCTGAGACGTTGACATTAAACTAATTAGTTACTCGGGCATGAATGCTTCCAGTCCCAGCCTCAGAAGTCAGCACCGACCAACCTCCTTCGAACGACTGGGACAATCCATTGTCACCAGATCACCTGGAATCTTGGAAAAACTGGAAAGTGAACCTAATTGCAACATCTGGGTTCGCAGTGCCTCGTGGTTACTGCCCCCCTGAATTTGGCGAAGTAAAAATGCGCGAACTGCACAAGGTGCGAGACGTAAGGACCTACGCAACAAAAACCAAACCTGTACCCAAAATATTAGTTTACGACCCCGGTGGAAGAGATGTATGTGTGCTTCACCCTTCTGCAATGCATCTCCTGAAAGACTGCAAGATTTTTGCGAAGAAACCGTTTGAAGATCGACGAAAGATACTTCTTCTGAATGGTCTTTGTTTCCGATGCCTCGGGAAACACAGGCAATCCGACCTATGTCTACCCGTCATCAACCTGGCCAACCTGAACCCTGACTTGCCGTGGATGCCGGCAAGTGCTTATTTCAATCTACTTGTCGCCAACCTGGCCAACCTGAACCTCAACTCACCCTGGACACCGGCAACGGGAAGGTTCCATTTTGAACCTGTAACCTGGCAAGCCCAAACTCCCTGCGAGTTGACAACTTACCCTGGACACCAGCAAGGTTTCGTTTTGAACCTGTAACCTGGCAAGCCTGAACTCCCTGCGAGTCGGCAACTTACCCTGGACACCGGCAAGGTTCCGTTTTGAACCTGTAACCTGGCAAGCCTGAACTCCCTGCGAGTCGGCAACTTACCCTGGACACCGGCAATGGCAAGGTTCCGTTTTGAACCTGTAACCTGGCAAGCCTGAACTCCCTGCGAGTCAGCAACTCACCCTGGACACCGGCAATGACAAGGTTCTGCCTTGAACCTGTAACCTGGCAAGCCTGAACTCCCTGCGAGTCAGCAACTCACCCTGGACACCGGCAAGGTTCCGTTTCGAACTTGTAACCTGGCACACCTGAACTCCCTGCGAGTCGGCAATTTACCCTGGACACTGGCAAGGTCCCGTTTCGAACCTGTAACCTGGCAAGCCTGAACTCCCAGGGAGTCGGCTACTTACCCTGGACACCATTAAGGTTCTGCCTCGAACCTGAACCTGGCCCAACTTTGCAACCTGGCAAACCTGGAGTGTGTGATTTGCACCTAAATACTGGCACCTGAAAAATTATGTCTAACATGGAAAATGAGGCAAGGAGGCGCCATGCGCCATCTATGCATCTACTGGAAGAGCAGGTTGACACTGCTCGAACAACCCTGCAGGGGTTACTGGACAAAGTTTTTGACAACATGGAACCCCAAGAAGTGACAGAAGTCACTCAAGCAATAAAGGACGCCTACAAGTGCTATAAATTGAAGGCAATGATCTTGACGAAAAGGCTCAAAGACACAGGGCACACGGAACGATCAAAGGATTTGAGGACTGAACGACTTGCCTTCAAGGAGGAAGTCTACGAATGTCTCTCTCTTCTCCGCGAACTGGAGAGAGACATGGACCCCGAAGATACCTCTCAGGTATCAATCACAGATACTACTGAAATGTCTTCCAAATCTCGAGTTTCTGCTTCCGAGCCTGACTTGGATTTAGTTCCTCCTCCAGCCCAATTTTCGGACAACCTGAACCTCAAGGTCTTGCCTACTGAAAACAGAGCCTCACGAACCCAGTCTCACCTTGATGAGCTTGCTGAGCTCCCAATACAAGAAAACGATCTGAATCAACCTGGCTCGAACCCCATGGTGGAACCGCCTCCACCACTGCCCATTTCACAACAGCTCTCCATACAACCCAACACCATTCTTCTCATGCACCCCAATTCAGCACATCTGTGCTCCCAGGCCAGTGAGAAACTTCACTTGGAACCCACCACCAACAACAACCTGCAAGCCCTCCCAGCCTCAGAAGTCAGCACCGACCAACCTCCTTCAAACGACTGAGACAATCCATTGCCACCAGATCACCTGGAATCTTGGAAAAACTGGAAAATGAACCTAATTGCAACATCTGGGTTCGCAGTGCCTCGCGGTTACTGCCTCCCTGAATTTGGCGAAGTACAAAGGCACGAACTGCACAGGGTGCGAGACGTAAGGACCTACCCTATAAAAACCAAACCTGTACCCGAAACATTAGTTTACGACCCCGGTGGAAGTGACGTATGTGTGCTTCACCCTTCTGCAACGCATCTCCTGAAAGACTGCAAGATTTTTGCGAATGAACCGTTCGAAGATCGACGAAAGATACTTCTTTTGAACGGACTTTGTTTCCGATGCCTCGGGAAACACAGACAATGCGACATGGGCACAAACTTCATCGGCAACTTCAACCAGGAAAGGCAACCGTGTCTCTGAACGATTTGGAAACAGAAGCTCAAATCCGCGGCCGTCAATGGCAATTCAATCCTCCCAAGGCTAGCCATCACGGCGGAGATTGGGAGAGGAAAATTCAGTCCGTAAAGAATATTTTGGATGCGTCTCAGTTACTGCTGGGACCGAGAAGTCTTTCTCGCGACGAATTCACTACCTTCCTGGCAGAGGCCACCTCCATCGTCAACAACACGCCACTAAGCGACATCAGTGAGGATCCGAATGACCCCGTCCCTCTGTCTCCTGCTATGCTACTCACACTGAAATCTTGCCCGAATCCCGCAACGTTAGAAGAATACACCGAACGCGACATTCTCGCCTACGGAAAAAGGCGTTGGAGACGAATCCAGTACCTCGCGGAGCAATTCTGGATCAGATGGCGTAAAGAATACATCCAAAGTCTTCAGCCAAGAAGGAAGTGGCTACATCAAAAGCCTTCCCTGAATACTAGAGACGTTGTCTTGCTGAGAAACGTAACGACCAGGAGAAATCACTGGCCAATTGGCCGGGTGATGGAGACAAAGCGCAGCCCCGACGGTCGGGTACGAACAGCCACAATCCGCGTCGGCACCCCGGGAAATCCTTCCTACGCCCTATCACCGAGCTCGTCCTGCTGATGAGCGGCAAATGATCCTCCAGTCCTCCTGCATCCCCCCTTTACTGTACTGGATTTGCGGGCGGGGAGTGTGCTGGAATAAATCCCAGCATTAGCTTAACTATTTGTTTTAGTTTTAATATTTTTTAGTATCCGCGTACACGGACAGGCTCGTTCCGGGTTTTTTAGAAATTTTGGCGGTTAGAGAAGCGTCGATCCCTGTTACTGGGATAAACAACGGTGTGACGCGTAGACGAAGCAACATTTGTGAGTTATTTTATCGTGATGTGTGTTTATTTTTTCTGAAACTGATTTTCTAGCTTGCTGCAATATCAAAGTGATTGTGCGAATTAATCCAACTGTATGATTTCTCAATCGTTGCCGACTAACGTTTCATAGGAATTACTATGAAACGACTGAATTACTATGAGGAATTACTATGAAAGATGGACTGAAAAGAAGTACAGTAAGATACCAAATATCTGTATTTCATTCTCCGCAAACCATCTGCGGCCTCTGGCTATGAGGCCGTGTCATATGTAACACTCTCGCATCATTTCGTTCACTCTCGCATGCCGGAGTATATTACTATAATAAGACAGAATCCGTACAGCTTACAGCACCCAAAATGCAGCACAGTTTTATCCAGTCAATCTTCATCTTTTTCGTCGGATGGAAGTTTGAAATTTACACGCATTAATTAAACATTTACATTATCACTTCTCACAATAACGTGAATGATGGATCACAACATGAGTGTTCACCTCTTCTTCAGCTGCCCCCTTCATCCTGATGGCCCACCGAGTAGCATGGATACGACGACGCCTCTTATCAGCTGATCCTCCTGCATCACAGAGAATAGAAAGGACATGTAAAGATAGATCCTTGTAATGCAAACATACCAGAGTAACTCGGATGAAAAATATGTTCATGAATGAAGAAGTGTAATAACAATTACATGTAAAGATAGATCCTTGTAATGCAAACACTCCAGAGTAACTCGTGTGATACGCATGCATCAGGCGTACGAAATACACAAGAGAAGTGCATTTGAGAACCAGGAATTCAACAGGAATCTTAAAACTGCAGTGGGATTGTTCCAAAATTTA